GTGAGGGGAAATTCTCAGAAGCCAAGACAAACCAGAAAGCAGGGATTCTGGGAGATACATGAGCCTTAGAAGCCCTGGGGTGCCGGTTGGCTCCTGAACTGAGTTTCAGTTGCCCTGGCAGGAGGGCAGGAGGTGAGCCTGTGGCCTCTCACACTGGGAGTTGGAAGGCTGTTCTTATGTAAGGCCAAGCACATCCTAAGAATCCTGCTTTATAAAAGGTTGAATTAGAAAGAAAAGAATAAAAGCATTCCTCAAGGCAAGGAAGTAAGGAAAGTAAAATTTTTTGGAAGCGGGAAAAAATAACATATCCAAAGTAAGGATTTAGTTTAAAGCTGTTCTGGCATAAGAGTGACCACAAACCCCTGGCAGAAAATCACAGCTCCTCCCGGAAAGAGAAGGTGTGTTTTGAATGAATCAGTGGACAGCCATTCTGAAAAAGGCCTCCAGAGTCTTCTGGATCAAGATACTGGACTCAAACACCTCCCTTCCATGGTCTCATTTAAATAACCAGAAAGGTTTTAAAGAAAAGAAGCCATAATCATAGTTATATTTATTGACATTACTTTATGCTAGGAATTCAAAGGTGACTATGGAGATGTCTCCTCTTTTATGGACCTTACTTTCTATTTGACATAGTTGGGGAACTTGATGGAGGGTGGTGTTAGTATGTTGCAGTTAGCCAGGAGAGGAGTTTAAGAAAGCAGTGAAGGGTTGGTGACATTTTTAGCTGAGGACAGTCCTGTTCAGTTGGCTTGTAATTACAGGCTCGTTGAGTTGTCACTGGAGGGAGTTAATCTTAAGGAATTTGGACTTAACTCAGGCCTCTTCAGAATGGACAAGTGAACCTGGAGAAAGACAGTCAAATCTGTGCAGACATTGAAGTTCACTTCAACATGCGGTATCCCTGAGCCAAAGATAGGACTAGTAGGTAGCACTTCTTGAGGACAGAGGAGTGGTTTTTAAGGTTCTTCAAGAATGAATCCCAAGGTACCGGGATGGCAAGTTGTCAAACTGTGACTTTGCTCTTTGGACGGTGTATCCACCAAGGGTATTGGCCG